GTGGACACGGCGCAGGGCCCAGGCGGGGCGGCGGTCCGTCTTCCCTCCCGTCCGGAGCACACAGTGCCCGTCTCTTGGTAGGACATGTGCGCTCAGCTTCCAGGAGACCCGCTTTTCCAGAGGATAAAAGGGGAAAAAGCCACACAATCTCATCTTCAACTTATTTCCATTGGTGTACTTTCTTTTTACTTCGTAAAAATTTTATTGATGTTTTTGTCCTTTATATTTATTAAAGATTGAGCCTCAAAAATGTAATGAGTAAAAAATGCTTGCTTAATTTAAATTGTGAATCTGTCTGTTAAGAAATGCATTAGGGGTAGGAGAAGCATAAGACATATTAATTGACAGACAGGAACTGCTGTCTCTGAGGTTGATACAAGTAATTTATTACTTTAGGAGTGAATGCCACCTCCAGAATGTGCTTCATTAATTTCAAATTTAGTTTTAATTTCAAGCTGTTGCCCCTTGAGAAGAATAAGGTGGCAAATTATGTTTGAAGAGCAGATATTTTTTGTACTCCAAAGAAACACCACATTGTAACTATTTAATTTTACAAATAAATGTGCCCATCGGCTTCTCTGCGTTTTCCCGGGAGCTGAGAAAATATTCCAGGTAAGACCAACACCTACTAATGCTTTCTTCTCTTTCTCTTCTCCTCCCGGTCTCTCCTCTTTCTGTCCACCTGCCCCACCTTCCCGCCTGTCACCACGCAGCCTATGTGTCCGACGAGCTCAAGGCTGCCGCCCTGGTGGAGGAAGAGCTGGACCCCGAGGGGAGCCCGGCAGATGGGGAGCCCTCGGCCAAGTACGCATGCCCCGAGAAGGAGCTCAGCAAGCCCTGCGCCAGCTACCAGAACTCGCCGGCCGCCGAGTTCTCCAGCCACGACATGGACAGCGAGTCCCACATCAGCGAGGCCAGCGACCGCATGGCCGACTTCGAAAGCGCCTCCATCAAGAACGAGGAGGAGACCAAGGAGGGGGTGGCGGCGCTGGAGGAGACCTCTGTGTCGGACAGCCTGGAGCAGATGAAGGCCGTGTACAACAACTTCCTGTCCAATTCCTACTGGTCCACCCTCAGCCTCAACCTGCACCAGCCGTCCTCGGAGAAGAACCCGGGCAGCAGCAGCAGCAGCAGCAGCAGTAGCAGCAGCTGCGGCAGCGGCAGCTTCGACTGGCACCAGAGCGCCATGGCCAAGACGCTGCAGCAGGTGTCGCCGAGCCGCGCGTTGCCCGAACCCAGCCTCTTCAGCACCGTGCAGCTGTACCGGCAGAGCAGCAAGCTCTACGGCTCCATCTTCACGGGCGCCAGCAAGTTCCGCTGCAGGGACTGCAGCGCCGCCTACGACACGCTGGTGGAGCTGACCGTGCACATGAACGAGACGGGCCACTACCGCGACGACAACCACGAGGCGGACAACAACAACCCCAAGCGCTGGTCCAAGCCGCGCAAGCGCTCGCTGCTGGAGATGGAGGGGAAGGAGGACGCCCAGAAGGTGCTCAAGTGCATGTACTGCGGCCACTCGTTCGAGTCCCTGCAGGACTTGAGCGTCCACATGATCAAAACGAAACACTACCAAAAAGTGCCTCTGAAGGAGCCCGTCACGCCTGTTGCGGCCAAAATCCTCCCCGCTGCTCGGAAGAAGGCGCCCGCGGAGCTGGAGCTGCCCAGCTCGCCGGACTCCACGGGAGGGACCCCCAAGGCCGCGCTGGCTGACACGAACGACGTGCTGCAGAAGAACGCCAACCCCTACATCACGCCCAACAACCGCTACGGCCACCAGAACGGGGCCAGCTACGCCTGGCACTTCGAGGCCCGCAAGTCCCAGATCCTCAAGTGCATGGAGTGCGGCAGCTCCCACGACTCCCTGCAGGAGCTCACCGCCCACATGATGGTCACCGGCCACTTCATCAAGGTCACCAACTCGGCCATGAAGAAGGGGAAGCCCATCATGGAGACGCCCGTCACGCCCACCGTCACCACGCTGCTGGACGAGAAGGTGCAGTCCGTGCCCCTGGCCGCCACCACCTTCACATCCCCCTCCCACACGCCGGCCAGCGTCTCCCCCAAACTGACCGTAGAGGTCAAGAAGGAAGTGGACAAGGAGAAAGCCGTCCCCGACGAGAAACCGAAGGACAAGGAGAAGCCCTGCGAAGAGGAAGAGAAGTATGACATCTCCTCCAAGTACCACTATTTGACGGAAAATGACTTGGAGGAGAGTCCCAAGGGGGGCCTGGACATCCTCAAGTCTCTCGAGAACACCGTGACGTCCGCCATCAACAAGGCCCAGAACGGCACCCCCAGCTGGGGCGGCTACCCCAGCATCCACGCCGCCTACCAGCTCCCCAACATGATGAAGCTGTCCTTGGGCTCGTCGGGGAAGAGCGCGCCCCTGAAACCCATGTTCGGCAACAGCGAGATCCTGTCCCCTGCAAAGAGCCAGACCCTGGTCTCCCCACCCAGCAGCCAGACCTCGCCCATGCCCAAGACCAACTTCCACGCCATGGAGGAGCTGGTGAAAAAGGTCACTGAGAAAGTGGCCAAGGTCGAGGAGAAGATGAAGGAGCCAGAGGGCAAGCTCTCTCCACCCAAGCGGGCCACCCCGTCCCCCTGCGGCAGCGACGCCAGCGAGCCCGTCAAGATGGAGGCCTCTGGCGACGGAGGCTTCCGCAGCCAGGAGCACAGCCCCAGTCCCCTGCGCGAAGGCGACAAGGAGGGGAGCCCCCCAGCGGAGCCTGTGGAGAACGGCCAGGAGCCGGGCAAGCCCGTGGCCGGCAGCCTGAGCAGCACGGCCATCATCACTGACCACCCACCCGAGCAGCCGTTCGTGAACCCCCTGAGCGCCCTGCAGTCCGTCATGAACATCCACCTGGGCAAGGCCGCCAAGCCCTCCCTGCCGGCCCTGGACCCCATGAGCATGCTCTTCAAGATGAGCAACAGCCTGGCCGAGAAGGCGGCTGTGGCCACGCCCCCTCCCCTGCCCGCCAAGAAGGCGGACCCCCTGGACCGCTATTTCTACCACGCCAGCAACGACCAGCCCATCGACCTGACGAAAGGGAAGAGTGACAAAGGCTGCTCGCTGGGCTCGGTGCTTCTGTCCCCCACGTCCACGTCCCCGGCCACCTCCTCATCCACCGTGACGACGGCGAAGACATCCGCCGTCGTGTCCTTCATGTCGAGCTCGCCGCTGCGCGAGAACGCCCTGTCGGACATCTCCGACATGCTGAAGAACCTGACGGAGAGCCACACGTCCAAGGCCTCCACCCCCTCCAGCGTCTCCGAGAAGTCCGACGTCGACGGGACCACCCTGGAGGAGGCCGAGGAGGCGACGCCCGCGCAGAAGAGGAAGGGCCGCCAGTCCAACTGGAACCCACAGCACCTGCTGATCCTGCAGGCCCAGTTCGCCGCCAGCCTGCGGCAGACCTCGGAGGGCAAGTTCATCATGTCGGACCTGAGCCCCCAGGAGCGCATGCACATCTCCCGGTTCACGGGGCTCTCCATGACCACCATCAGCCACTGGCTGGCCAACGTGAAGTACCAGCTCCGAAGGACAGGCGGGACTAAGTTCCTCAAAAACCTGGACACGGGCCACCCCGTGTTCTTTTGTAATGACTGCGCGTCACAAATCAGGACTCCCTCCACCTACATCAGCCACCTGGAGTCGCACCTGGGCTTCCGGCTCCGGGACTTGTCCAAACTGTCCACCGAGCAGCTGAACAGTCAGATAGCACAAACCAAGTCGCCGTCAGAGAAGCTGATGACGGCCTCCCCCGAGGAGGACCTGGGCACCTCCTACCAGTGCAGACTGTGCAACCGGACCTTCGCGAGCAAGCACGCCGTCAAGCTGCACCTCAGCAAAACCCACGGCAAGTCCCCGGAGGACCACCTGCTCTACGTGTCCGAGCTGGAGAAGCAGTAGCAGTGGCTTCCGGCCCAGACGACGGTGGTCTGCTCTGGGGAGGCGGCGCCCGCACGGAGGCCGCTCTGTCCCGCCGCACACAGGTTCTCGTCCTCCCGGCAGCGCGCACGGGCGGGCGGGCGGTTTCGTACGACTGTACAGTGTTGATAGAGGTGCGCAATCAGTGGTGGTCACTGGTAACCAGGAAGGCGACGCACAGTGCTAAGTGTTTGGAACTCTGTGTAAATGGGATTTAGTCGTGAGCACCGACGCTCCAAGCTGCATGCGTAACAGACCATTTAATGAAGCATTTATACCGAAGCGCCCCTCCCTGCACCCGGAGTGCGTGCGCCGCGTTCCTCACCCTTTCATCTTTAGCCCTCTGAGTACTTGGAAGCACTTTTGCATTCGTTTGGTTAAAAAAAAATAAAATAAAATGATAATAATGTATGAAGCTCTGTTTTGTAAACTCCTTACCAGCTTCGTTAAAATTAATAATATGAACCTCCATTTATGCAGATCTGCAGGGGTATAACACGCCTTGAAATTTAAAAGAATATTATTTTCACATTGAAACATAAATGTATATATTGTATAGATTTCAGACTCTCTTATGAAGAATGTGATTGTGGTTAAATGACCTTTTTTCCTGCATTTATAGCAACAGTGTTTTATGGACCCGCTATGCTCTGGGCATAAGCTGTGCCTGTGTATAGTGTATATTTCTGTTTCCTTTTTTAAGGTCTATGGGTTCTGTTTTTTTACATGCAAACATTGTAAATTATACAGAAGATGCCACAGATAGCATTTATAAAGTATACAGAAACATTATCTGAAAGCAAAGTATGATTGTTTGTTTTGCTATACAGTACATCTATATTGATAGAGGTTCCCGTTTAAATTATACATATTTATTAGCACCGTGTCACCACGTGTTCCGAGCGGCCTGAACCAGCGGGGCCAGCGTGACGTCCACGGCAGGCAGCATCGTCACTATTTTGCACATCGTTTTTTAAAGGTATTTATTAGAAATCAAAGAATGCTCAAAATAAACTCAGTGCTCAAAGGGTTAAGTCTATTTGAAAAGGAAAAAAAAAGAACAAAAAGAGAGAGAGAGAGAGAGAGAGAGAGAGACTTGTACTGTATTTCCTAAACGTTGATAAAGCCTTTAAATGTTTGTACTGTAATACTTTGCTGCGGCCCCGGGGCCGCCCTCCCCGCGTACGTCTCAGCCCTCGGCTGCCAGGCCAGTGGCCGGATGCCTTTTTGTTTCAAACGGTAACTTTCTGTTTTCTTCCCCTAATGATTCTCCCCAGATCCCACACTGCAGCTTTATCTTTAGGCTCATGAAAGGTAACCCGTGGTTACCGCTCTCCCAGCGATCCCGTTCTCCCCCAGTTTTGGCAGTTAATTTGCAGCCGTAACTGACAGCTGACACCCCGTGAAAACCCGTGTATAAAACCTCGGCATGTACACAGCACAGCCACTTCCCACACCGTGTGCCCCGTTTCGTTGTTGACAATGCACCACCATTCTGTGACTCTTCACATAACCCTTTTTCTACGGCAGCATTAAAATTGTCTTTTTGCTATAATTTTGTGTCGCGTTCACAATTATGTCTGAAATGTGCTCCGACTAACGAGCGCATTAAAACGGAATTGCGCGCGGTCTGTTTATGGCTGAGGTGGCCGCGGGGTCTGCCAGGTGCTGGCAGGCAGGAGCTGCTGTAAATCAGGGGAGTTTCCGTGAACTCAGCGCGGGGAGAGCAGGAACACGCGTTCTGAGGCGGCGTGGGCTGCATGTTGGGGAGAAAGGAAGACATTTGCATGTGGATAGCTTCTCTCTGGGTCAGGGAGGCTGTAGATGGGGGCAGAGCGCCGGGTCCCACCTGGGGGCTGGTGTGGGGTGGGGTCCGGTGTCCCCCTGGGTGTGAGGAGGCAGATGGGAAGGGAGGTCTCTGGAAGCCTCCACGCACGGCGGCTCCTGCCCGTTGACGTTCGATTTCCACGGAGCGGCAGACAACCAGGAGGGGCAGGTGGAGTCGGGCCCAGGGCTCCCTCCGGCACAGAAGCTCCCGCGGTGACGAGGCCCGGGATGGTCTGGGGTGGGGGCGGCACCCACCCCGGGGGGCGTGGGGAGAGCGTTTAAATGATCGTCACCAGCTTCTATGAGTTCTGGCACATCGTGCCAACAAGACGCGCATGTCACGTAAAGTTGTGAAACACCTTCATTACGTGCGCAAACCACTCTTGCCTTCCCGCGAACCACAGCTCCCCCCCTAGGATTACACCAATGAGAGCTGCAGCCCGCCACGTGGTGCAGGAAACCTCACCTGAAACAGATACTCTTATTAAAAATGTAAATTAAGCCCTTTCAGAGATGTTTGGCAACACGCCCACATGCTTCCATTCATCCCCACCCCTTTTGTCAGGATGAGTCCCAGATCCCTGTCTGCGCCCGTCTCATCGGCAGTCATCTCTCTCCTGGTTTTAGAGAGAAACTCACCGAGTTCAGAACAGGATTTTGGCAAATGGGTTCCAGGCTGGCTGCGGCAGACAGCCTGGCACCCATGGCCGGGGCCGCGAGGGCTTCCCTGGGGTCCCATCTCGTGTGGCCCGTCCCTGGGAGCAGGCCCTGCCCCCTGAGCCCTCTCCAGGGAACCCGGCCCAGGGCACAGACACGCTCCCTCCTGTGCCTCCACACCCTCTCCTGCCGGAGCCCAGATCTCTACTCTGAGCGTTTCACGGTTAAATATAGTGTGGGTTTATTAGAATCCAAAGTCCTGCCTCTAACAGATTAAACTGACAACGCTTCCGTCGCCACCCGGCCCGTGCAGCTTGGGGGAGGAGGGGTTTGTGCTGCTGGTGGAGCCCTCGACAGTTTGGGAGAAGAACCTGTTGTCTGCCCAGCTCCTCCTCGGGCCCCGCCCCCACCCCGGGACTCCCATTTGGTTGGAGTGAGCATGTCTGGTCCAGGAAGGGGGCACGCGGTCACTCACTCGGCATCCAGGCTCAGAGCCAGGAGGGGACTGCTTGTACTCAGGGGCCCTGAAAGTCACTTCACCCCAAGGGGAAGCAGGGACTCTGCCAGCTGCTCCAGGCCAGGCAGAGGCGGCCGCCCCACAGGGAGGCTCACGGAGGGTGTGAGTGCGGAGGACTGTCATCCAAGTCCGTCTTTACCTGGGTCCCGGGGGGGAGGGCGGTTTAATCACAGGTGTGCAGGGGACGACCTCGCCCGCCCCGCCCGGCTTGCCGCAGTCCTCCTGCATCTCACAGCCATCACCTTTACACAGTATCTTAAAATAACATTTGTGATAAATGTGCAATTTAACTAATTTATGGTGCTCTGATGTGCTCAGGGCTACATGCAAGATGAAAACCTTAAATGGAGCTTGAACAGCTCACTTCACAACAAGAAATCAATATGCCACCTCGCAGCCCCTCGCCGCAGCCGACAGGCAGCAAAGCACCAGCGCAGCAGCCTCCACGTTCAGTGGCGAGGATGCTGTCGTGAACAGAGCCCAGGGCGTGAGGGGCCGGCCTTGATGAGGACCCCGTGCCCCGGCACCTCTGCTCCATTTCCTGCTGCGCAAGGGAAGAGCATCCGCTCCGCGGCCACCCAGGAGGAGCTGTGCCGGGTGCAGGGCTGTCCCCAGAAGGCCCAGGAGTTCAGGCCCTGCAAGCCGAGGATGACTTCCAGCTCTGACCACGCAGCGAGGCGGGTCAGCACGCACCCAACTGCACTGCTCCTCAGGCCTTCGTTGTTGACAATGCACCACCATTCTGTGACTCTTCACATAACCCTTTTTCTACGGCAGCATTAAAATTGTCTTTTTGCTATAATTTTGTGTCGCGTTCACAATTATGTCTGAAATGTGCTCCGACTAACGAGCGCATTAAAACGGAATTGCGCGCGGTCTGTTTATGGCTGAGGTGGCCGCGGGGTCTGCCAGGTGCTGGCAGGCGGGAGCTGCTGTAAATCAGGGGAGTTTCCGTGAACTTGGCGCCGGGAGAGCAGGAACACGCTCCGAGGCGGCGTGGGCTGCACGTTGGGGAGAAAGGAAGACATTTGCATGTGGATAGCTTCTCTCTGGGTCAGGGAGGCTGTAGATGGGGGGCGGGAGGCAGAGCGCCGGGTCCCACCTGGGGGCTGGTGTGGGGTGGGATCCGGTCTCCCCCTGGGTGTGAGGAGGCAGATGGGAAGGGAGGTCTCTGGAAGCCTCCACGCACGGCGGCTCCTGCCCGTTGACGTTCGATTTCCACGGAGCGGCAGACAACCAGGAGGGGCAGGTGGAGTCGGGCCCAGGGCTCCCTCCGGCACAGAAGCTCCCGCGGTGACGAGGCCCGGGATGGTCTGGGGTGGGGGCGGCACCCACCCCGGGGGGCGTGGGGAGAGCGTTTAAATGATCGTCACCAGCTTCTATGAGTTCTGGCACATCGTGCCAACAAGACGAGCATGTCACGTAAAGTTGTGAAACACCTTCATTACGTGCGCAAACCACTCTTGCCTTCCCGCGAACCACAGCTCCCCCCCTAGGATTACACCAATGAGAGCTGCAGCCCGCCACGTGGTGCAGGAAACCTCACCTGAAACAGATACTCTTATTAAAAATGTAAATTAAGCCCTTTCAGAGATGTTTGGCAACACGCCCACATGCTTCCATTCATCCCCACCCCTTTTGTCAGGATGAGTCCCAGATCCCTGTCTGCGCCCGTCTCATCGGCAGTCATCTCTCTCCTGGTTTTAGAGAGAAACTCACCGAGTTCAGAACAGGATTTTGGCAAATGGGTTCCAGGCTGGCTGCGGCAGACAGCCTGGCACCCATGGCCGGGGCCGCGAGGGCTTCCCTGGGGTCCCATCTCGTGTGGCCCGTCCCTGGGAGCAGGCCCTGCCCCCTGAGCCCTCTCCAGGGAACCCGGCCCAGGGCACAGACACGCTCCCTCCTGTGCCTCCACACCCTCTCCTGCCGGAGCCCAGATCTCTACTCTGAGCGTTTCACGGTTAAATATAGTGTGGGTTTATTAGAATCCAAAGTCCTGCCTCTAACAGATTAAACTGACAACACTTCCGTCGCCACCCGGCCCGTGCGGCTTGGGGGAGGAGGGGTTTGTGCTGCTGGTGGAGCCCTCGACAGTTTGGGAGAAGAACCTGTTGTCTGCCCAGCTCCTCCTCGGGCCCCGCCCCCACCCCGGGACTCCCATTTGGTTGGAGTGAGCATGTCTGGTCCAGGAAGGGGGCACACGGTCACTCACTCGGCATCCAGGCTCAGAGCCAGGAGGGGACTGCTTGTACTCAGGGGCCCTGAAAGTCACTTCACCCCAAGGGGAAGCAGTGCCTGGGCAGCCGAGGGCCCGGGCCGGGGTGCACACCTCACTGGGCAGTGACAACCCCCAAACCACACATCACGGAGGGGGTGGCCGGGCCTCAGCCCACCTGGACATGCAAGGCCACTCAGTTCAGGGTCACCGGACGCTGTCCTGGCTGAGGGTGGGCCAGCGCCTGGAACAGCCTCCCCCACCCGAGCCGGCGCCTGCTGCTCCCGCGGCGTTTTTTGGACTCTGCCAGCTGCTCCAGGCCAGGCAGAGGCGGCCGCCCCACAGGGAGGCTCACGGAGGGTGTGAGTGCGGAGGACTGTCATCCAAGTCCGTCTTTACCTGGGTCCCGGGGGGGAGGGCGGTTTAATCACAGGTGTGCAGGGGACGACCTCGCCCGCCCCGCCCGGCTTGCCGCAGTCCTCCTGCATCTCACAGCCATCACCTTTACACAGTATCTTAAAATAACATTTGTGATAAATGTGCAATTTAACTAATTTATGGTGCTCTGATGTGCTCAGGGCTACATGCAAGATGAAAACCTTAAATGGAGCTTGAACAGCTCACTTCACAACAAGAAATCAATATGCCACCTCGCAGCCCCTTGCCGCAGCCGACAGGCAGCAAAGCACCAGCGCAGCAGCCTCCACGTTCAGTGGCGAGAATGCTGTCGTGAACAGAGCCCAGGGCGTGAGGGGCCGGCCTTGATGAGGACCCCGTGCCCCGGCACCTCTGCTCCATTTCCTGCTGCGCAAGGGAAGAGCATCCGCTCCGCGGCCACCCAGGAGGAGCTGTGCCGGGTGCAGGGCTGTCCCCAGAAGGCCCAGGAGTTCAGGCCCTGCAAGCCGAGGACGACTTCCAGCTCTGACCATGCAGCAAGGCGGGTCAGCACCCACCCAACTGCACTGCTCCTCAGGCCTGGTGTGACCACATTTACACAGAAGCCAGGCCTGCAGCTCGCCGAGCCCAGGGCGCTGAGCTCCCTGAGAGCAGGGCCGGGAGCCCGGAGCTTGCGTGGCGGGACCGCAGCCGCGGGAAGCCAGGAGCCTTGAGCAGAGGCGGGGTGAGAGCCATCGTCCCCGGGGTTCTAAGTCATCTCATGGGAAAATCAAATGATAGCACTTTTTCAAATTCATCTGTGCGGCTCTCTTGAAATCGGAAAATGGCCGTTGCCTTGTATTCTGTTGATTATTTAGCACAAAAATAACACACTTTGTATAACAGGAAGCAGTCATAAAAATGGAAACACGCAAACCCCAACACCACTCTTCAGTAA